TGAAGTCCACAAGTCTTAAAGTTGCCAAGGTTGGACACCCCTGATGTAGAGGATTAGCTACTTAAAGGAACTAGTGGCAAAAGTTACCTAAAATTGCTTCAGATCCAGGAACTGACCTGACTTTCTTGCAGGAAAGTAAGCTCTCAGGACCTGAGGCAATTTTAGGGATGCTTTTTGGTTCCTGGAGAGTAAGAGAAACTCCTGGGACTGGAGGTCATATCTTTGGGAACATAACCCGCAGTCTGAGGTATTCTCAAGGATAAAACATTCCAATTTGTTGTATCTTGCTTCTTTCACTCGTAGAAAGAGTGAAAGTAAATGCCTCTTGGTAAAATTGATGAATTTGGTTTTCTAGTTTCTGAACATCAGGTGGTCATTTGATGCCTTTTTTTTTTATTTCAAAGGCACTCTACATGAAATGAATTGCAACTGACAAGCAGACAAAGACAAAGGTAAGTCAGTTTCATTAACTTTCCAATGCTTGTATTTAGCCAAGAAGCCTGACAGGTACTTTTGGCAACAGTGGTTTACTACTGCAGAAACCTTTGGGCCTCGCTAAAACTTATCCTACACAGCATGCTTTAGCGAAGTTTTGTTTAAAAACACACACAAAGTAATTATGGTAAAAAAAGTAGGCATAAATGTAACAAGGGTGTCTGGCCCATCCCTCAGCAAGGATACTGGCTGGCATTTAGTTGTCCTGCACTGTGAATCAGCCTGGATTAAGTCTCCCTGGCTTAATCAGCCATGATCATACACCAAGGAAGGATGGGGGACTAGTGGCAAGGGTGGAGTGTTGGCAGAGGACCAGCTGTGAATGAATAGCCAAGCTAGATTGGCTGCAATTGTGGTGGGGGTTGAAGTGGGTGCGAAAATGTTGCCACCATCAATTGTCCCATTCCTGACATTTCCTTGCAGGTTGAAAGATCAGCAGAGGGCGCAATGGCACAACAAGACGTGTGAAGTGCCTTGTGCAGGGATATGGATGAGAGCTCCTGTTAAAACATCCTTTCGAGGAGAGGAAAGCAGTTAGCCTCATAATCCATTACTGTGCTGCCAATGGATATTGTACTGATAGCTATAAATAGATATGTTTTGCTATTCACAGATACACCAGGAAATTGGAGAGATTGGAGGCATTTTTGTGTGTGCTGTTTTGTTTTAAAATGATGGATTTAAAAACATTTTGTTTTCCACTCTTGTTTTTTCTACCAAACAATCTGATTAAGAGTCTGGAAGGTGTTGTGACATGCAGGTTGTCTTAGTAAAGATATTGTCCAATTGTTGATTCATTCTAGACTTGCTGCTGTCCAAGCATTTTTGATTACCACGAGCAGATCTGGAACAGATTCAAAAACATTGTCATCCATAACACACAAGCAATTAATGACAGGTGCTGCCATGTTTCAGTGGCCACTAACCATGAGATAGTTTCAAAAGACTGTATTAATGGCCAAAGTAATGGTATTTAAATGCAGACGAGGTCTGCAGGAGATAAATAACCTCTTTCATAACCCAAATAGGATATGCAAAATTACATGCACCATCTGTTTCAGGTTGAAGGCCACACCAGTCAGGACAAGGGCATAGGTGATTTCTAAAACAAAACAAAACTCCATTAAATTTATATTAATAAAATATAGTTCTGATCATTATTCCCCTTGGGTAGCCTTGTGGCCAGAATTTGGATGCCCTTGATTAAAACATCTTAAAGCGCTCCCTTGGTGAGTCTGGACCCACCTGCTTTGAAACACTACACCTGTGAATTGGATGCAGCATTATACTTTCCATCTTCTTTCCAACAAAGCTTTTCATGCCCATTTTGGAAAAAGGCAAGAATTGGCATTATAATACGGTCTTGAAAACATAGATTTCTCTGTGCGCTTCAGACCCGATCAAGAGCCTTGTCTGATTATTTTGTCGCTGCCATGGGAGTGGGATTTTAAATTACAGATTTTTAATTGTTGCTGCATGTGAGTTGGGAGGCTGTATAAATCTCTTAAGTACCACTTGGTTGTTCTGATCATCAGTTTAGTTGGTTTAGGTTGCCCTGCCAACCTGCTCATTGAAAAGAGTTTTCTCAATGTTCTTTCTCTACAACACAGCGCTCAACATTTTGTAGCCATCAATGTTGGGGAAGAACCAGGCCACTTTTCTTCCACTCGCTCAGCCTTGCAGAGAAAGAGTGAAGAAAAACCAGGTTGCCTTTGTTCTTCTCTGATGAACAGCCCGAGATTGGGTTACTGTGAATTGTCCTGAACAGAGAACGCTTGTATTTCCGGCCAATGCACTGGTCCCTTCTGAAAGGCACATACTGTACATGTATGCTGCTGGTCTTTGTATATACATACCCCACACACTTAGAAATGTCGGAGCACGTGTCTTGTGACTCACGCACCCACTCTCCGGGGCCAGGAAGTGGCAAGAAGAGGAAATGATTGGTGCGGCCTTTCGTTCCCTTCCAGATGCTCGACATGCCACACTCCAAGGGCTGTGAAGCAGCCGTCATGAAGGTGAGCGACCCCTATTCCCAGTTTCCTTTCTAACAATAACTACCACTCTCCGTCTTTCGGTTTCCTGCCTCTGGAACAATGTGTTAGCTGGGAAATTCCTTGCTGGAAGTTAACTCTTTGAGTTGAAGAACCTGACTCTGGGTAAAAGAGGTGGGGGGTGGTAGTGGCAGTGAATGAAAACCACATGTTCCACCGAGAAAGGCATGGGAAGAGATGGAAAATCAGCGGTAAGCAGAAAAGCAGGGTTGTAAACCAGAAGGCAGACAGAAAAGCACAGGGAGATTCATTTCTCCCCACTTTTTTTGTTAGCCCTGAAATGCCTTTTTCACCATCTTCGGTTTGTTCGCAGGAAGTTTTTTTTCATACAATAGACGAGAACTTTATGTTATAGTTAATGATGGGTGGAGAGAGCATAATGGTTCAGCCGTAACGGCAGATTCCAAAACTTTAGGCTTCAGAGTTAGAGCAATTTCAAACTTTCGAACTTCTGCTGGTGCTCTATGTATGTATTTGTGTGCATGTTTGTGTATACACAATCGAGAAAGCAAATATGAGCAGAGAAAAGTCATTTGCCTTCTCAATTACAAAGCTAAAAGCCAGGAAGGGGATAGTTAATTTCAGGGATGTGTAGGCTACAGTAGATTGGCAGGAATCCCGTAGAAGAGGGATCCAAATCCACCCAGCCTTATGTTGCAAAAGTGAGAGGCCACACTAGGTTTCTGTCAACCCCAACGGTCTTTTGTGACGAGGACTTTGGCTGGCTGACAACTCCAAACAGCCTTTGCAGATAGCAGCACTATGGCGTGCACGTTTTTAGGAGTTTTTCTCCAACAAACTACAATATCTTCAGCTGTCTCAGTGAAAGAAGGATCTGTTCCGCTGGGTGGAAATATCAGTATTTTTCCAGCTCTGGAGGCTTGGATCTACATGGAACTATGAACTTCGTCAGAGCTTTGGAACAAATCAGAAATGCCCGTTACGTTGTGAAGCAGTCACTTAAGACAGAACAACGCAACATGTAGGGTAGGAATTTTGTGAGTGTGTGAGTATAAGTGTATAAATGTGCCTCCAAACCTGTTCTATTGCTTTCCAAATGTCAGATTTATGTGATCAGGCATTAAGTTTTGTTTGTGTTAGCACACTGCAATACAGTGCTAAAAAAGGAGGGAGGAAATATTTGAATTATCTATATTCTGATAGGAAAATATTTTCTCTCATCCATGTGAGTCTATTTATGGGTTTTGATGAACTTCTAGATTAAGATGTTTTTGTTAAAGAACTATAATTTTCAAGGGTTTCTTCATTTTTTTCATTGATGAGTGCCACGTTGGTGAGCATTCAGAAACAATTAGAACAGAAATGCCACTTTTAAGTTTTTTTATTTGTTGGATTAAAGGATGAATTTGAGTTTTTAAAAGACTGCTATTTAAATAGATGTTGAGAATTAGATTCTGTTGGTTCATTACAGAAATACACGATCCAGTTTTTGATTTCAGTTATTCATATTGGAATTAATAAATGTGGACAGGGAAAATAGGTTGATTGCATATTGTTTAATCCAAGCTAATTTTTAAAATGACCAGTACGTTAATGGAATATGGACCCATTCTGAAAATCTGGAAAACTTTATAATGAAAAAAAAAAAGTAACTTGCTTTAAACATATAAATATCTGCAGATGAGGAACAAGACAGTGTTTTTCCACCACTCTAAAACCAATTAACATTCTGCATCTCAGCATCTGCTATTCTGAATTTGGACAAACTAAAATATATGACTCCCATAAATTATCTTTAGTGAATCCTGTACTAAGGCAATTGCCTACTCTGTGGTATAGGTGAGATTTGCACTTGGTTTATAAATTTAACATGTCCCATGTTGGTTTTGATGATAAATCTTTCTGGATTGATTATATTGTGATTCAGGGGTGGAATCATGGGACAGAGTTAGAAAATACATCACAGTTGTTTCATAATTCTGTTTTTTCCTCTAGTTCATTTTTTTTGCCCTACTTGCCCTCGCACATTTCACAACTCCTGTGGTTGCCCAAGGTAAGATGCTATTTTTGACAGGGGTCTTGATATGCTATCTGATGCATGGGAATCTTTCAGGGTTACAGGAAAACCTAGCAACTTAAAGCTTAGAATTTGAGAGGAGGATCACCTGGGTGATCCAAAGATCAGTTATTTATACTTTCTAAAGCCATTTTATCTTCACCCTGGCAGGACTGACAAAATATCAAGCAGAGTATGGTTCTCCCATCCCCCACAATGTAAGAAAAAGATCCCATAGTATATTTTTCAAGAGTTTCCCACCATCCAGTCAGAGCTGAAGAAGCTTCTTGGATGAGAAGCAAAACATCTTCAAAGAAAAACCAGAAAGTCCAGTTTCCGCTTGAAAAAGCACCTTTGGGACAACCATGACCTGGATGACTGAGAATCTCCATAGACATCCCATTGTATAATTTTGCATCTCTTATCTGGAGTGTTTGCTTACTAGCACTATGACGACAATTCAGTCCATATCTGTTCAGCTGTCTTATATTTATCAGAGATTCTAAAATATATTTTTATTTAATTGTAGTACAGGGCTTTTTTGTTGTGCTTTTCTTAAATTTGTAGAGAAACACTTACCTGGAAGTTACCCGCTGATTTATCCTTGTTCTTAGTCAATGTAATTTGCAACCAGCATGGGAAATTTTTGATAAACGTATATGTAATTTATAAAGATGCATCCAAATAAATCAAGACAGGGAGAGGAACAAGAAAGAAAACTATGCAGGGACCCCCTTTTATCATTTCCTGTTTTCCTTTTTCCTTTAATGCCCACAAGAGGTGGGAAAGAAGACATTTGGAGATTTCAGATAAAAAATATTGTGATTAATTTTACTGTTAAGATGAAAATTAATTCTCTTTAAATAAGCCAAAACATATGCTAGCATTTTCCACATTTCTTTTTTAAAAAAATCTATAGTGACAATTTCATATTTTTTCTGCATGTGTTGCAAAGCCGAGAACCAGGTTGTCTTTTTAAAAATTATTTTTAAATATTTGCAAACTGCTGGCAGAAAGAAAGGTGAGGAAATGTAGCCAATTGGCATCCTAAACTTACTACAAAGGAGAAGAAGGGAGTTTGGGACATGTTATGGAGGAAGAATGACTATCCTGGCATCAAATAATTGACCAACATTGCAACCAACATTGAGCCCAAAATTTCTGTTACTAAACAAGATAGTTGTTAAGTAAGTTTGCCCCATTTTATAACCTTTCTTGCCACAGTTGTTAAGTGAATCATGGCAGTTGTTAAGTTAATAACATGGTTGTTACGTGAATCTGGCTTCCCTGTTGACTTTGCTTGTCAGAAAGTCATGAAAGGGGACCACGTGACTCTGGGACACTGTGACCGTCATAAATATGAGTCAAGCGTCTGAATTTTGATCTACTTCTGAAGTTCAGACCTGATTGCAATTATCTCTGTAGTGAAGTAGCTCACTCACATACAAACAGGAGGCAACACTAGCGTTGTGGAAAAATCCAACATCTGCAAAATTCCAGCTTCTGAAACCATTTTGGGAGAGGGGACAGAGCTTTGTGGGGGACCTTCCGAAAAGGACTGAACATGACCCCTGACAGCAGAATGTTCACATGATATCTGGGTGGAAAACAGGGAACAACTAGTGGAATGTTATGTAGAATTCTAATTCCTACACTCTATACTTCAATTTCACTTGTTACTCCTCCCTTTCCAGATGTGGTCCAAATTTGAGTCCTGTTACTCCACGTTGACCTCCAGCTTTGTTTATACATACTGAATTTCTGTTTGTAGTTTCCACTCCTTGGCTTTTGGACTACAGCAGGAATGTCCAACCTTGGCAACTTTAAGACTTGTGGGTTTCAACTCCCAGAATTTCTGGGAGCTGAAGTCCACATGTCTGAAGTTGAAGTCTATATGTCTTAAAAGTTGACAAGGTTGAAAACATTGCTCAAGGGTGTGGTAAGAATAAAATGGGAAGTTGCACTGTCCTGAGCAATTTGGAGAAAAGATTGAAGATATAGACAAAAGAGTCAGACAGAAAAGGGATATTAAGCTGTCTCCATCTTGATTCAGTTTCAGGAAGTCCAACTTTGATAGTTCAGAAGGAAGAAGATGCCAAAGGATTTCAAACCACAACAGAATTTTTTCTGAGTACTGTTGGTGAGTCTTTTGCCAAAATAGCTGGCAATAGCCAGTCTTATTCAACTAAGCTAGCATTTGTGTACTAATTAAGTATATATTTCCCATCCCTAGATAATTTTGCTTCTCTGAAGTTGTATTTTGAGAAGAGAACTAATTGGTGGGACAAAAGGGCTGATTTCCCTAGGATGCTGCTTCAAAATCTTGCTAAAGTTAAATGAGTTAAACAACAACATGATAGAGAGCCAGTTTAGTATAGTGGTTAAGGCAGCAGACTAGAAACCGGGAGACTGTGAGTTCTAGGCCTACTTTAGGCATGCAGCTAGTTGGGTGACATGGACCTCCCTCTCATCCCTAAGAAGCAAGCAATGGCAAACCAATTTCAGCAAACTCAGTTTCCCCATTGTACTGTTGATGTTATCTAGCCTGGTAATAAAATGCAGGAAGAGAAAAAAAAGTTTTAGGGAACACTGGGAACCAAACATTTCAACCCAGAGCTATAGTCTTTACTATTCAGCCTTTAAAATGATCACTGGGTCACTTGTATTCATTAAAAAACCCTCCCTTTTTATGAACTTGTAATCTCTTAACTCGGGGTAGAGTTGGGGCAACTGGATGGAACTGACGTTTAACCATCAGTTGAAATGTAACCTTAGGGCTTGAGAGAAATTCGTCTGTTTAATATATTTTCCTTCTCCATGCTTTGTTTTTCTATGACAGGGATGTTAACAAATGAAAGTCACAATCCAGAAAATTTAACCTTTCTGCAAGAGAATGTATCAACAAGTGGTATGTAATTGCGGACATTGTTATATGTTTAGTGTACATAGTTCATTTGTTCCTATTGGCAGTTGTTGTCATTCAATCAGACCAGTCAAAGAGAACAGTTTTGATTGATGTCCAAACCCAGCATGAGACTTAAGCCACAATTTGTGAGCTGACATAAAAACATATTTGAACATTGGAATTAAGGTTACGGATTTCCTTTCTCTGCTTAATGCTTAGTTGAGGAATCTGTAGAGATTGATTATAAAAAAAAACATCAAGTGGATAGGGAAAATCCACAAAGTAACAATTCTTTTCTAATGGCACTCTTTTCTTGACTTGTTATAGAAGTGACAATACCAGCTGAAGTGACAGTGGCTCTCAGCACAAGCATTGTGCAATTCAAGAACACTCCAGGTGAGGTCACAACTGTGAGTCCAAAGAACACAAAGAATTTTGAAATAAATTCTAAAATGCCCTGAAAATCAGACCAAAAAAAGTCTGTGAAGCCTCTTTCACAGAGGAACAGAACTTTCAAGGATGATTTTCTTGGCATAGTAAAATTTTCCTCCGGCATGATCTTTTCCAGAAGATTCCACACCTCAGCTACCATCTGTTGACCAAGAAAATAGAAGAGGTATTTCTTTAATTATTTATGAAAGATTTAAAGATTTCTAAATTGTTTGCCATGCTGGGCAAACTGTTCCAAGATGACAGACTCTACGGTAACACATTAACATCTACCGAACAATAAAATCTACAATCTTAACTCAAGTAAGTGCTGAAAAATATGTTTTTCAATTCTGAAAAATTTCCACATCAATGTGCTTTCCTCTTCTTTCCATAGATGCTGAGATGAAAGAATATCGTGATATTTTCACTTATGGTGAGTTTCAAACTGGGTTAAACAAAGGAAAAACCTTGAAGGGAGATTTCCAAACTCCTGTGATCCTGTAAAAAAATGGTTTGAGAGAGAAAATACTAAAATAAAATGTATATGTTACTATCAATGTGTGAAATTAAGCATTTTATGGAATGTCTGGGAAACCTATAGAATTCCAAAAATGGAACATCAAAGTATGAAACACTTTATATTTCACACATATCCTAGACACTCTTTTCAATGCCAGAAGGCAAACTGGCAAAGTATAAAATACTCCCACTAAAATGCCATGCTAACCTTTCTTGTTGCAACGAGTAGGCATCAATACTGGTCTTTTTCTCTTGTTTCTTTCAGTAAGAAAGTCCTGTACTTTATTCTGCATTTCTTCGTTCATTTTCATATGTTTTTTCAATAAAGAGTTTAGATTAGGGTTAGGATTTTCATAACTCTCTTTTCATACTTTATTTAAATACTGTAGTTCTTGTCATTCCGCATAATGCCTAGGTACTATATACATTACAATGTCTAGGGAAAGTATATAGCATATTAAAAATAACACAGACATTTCATACTTTGCCTAAAGATGTTACACATTTTATAGATTTCCTAGGCATTCTATATGCTGTGCCACCTTTTCATAGATTACTGGTAACATATACATATGTTGGGATGAGGCACCTGAGGTTTCTCCAAATATTGATGGCCAACAGAGAGAGATTCTGGCACTCATTTGACAACACTGGAAGGCTCACCAGTTCTCTGATGCCCATTTACCCAATGGTTATATTTATACCACTTGCTAAAACCTGATATGCTGGAAACTTAGTGGCTACATCCACACAACTTGTTAAGCTTGGTCAGTGGGTTTTTAAAAAAAATCATTTGAGGGTATTTTGGTAGCTTTGCATGTTGTGCAAACCCATCTTATTTGGTTTGTTCATGATTCAAAATACTAGCTAAAGTCAGGAAAAATGAATGATTTGAGAAGCAGGTTAGATGCAGTGCCTTCCCGTCAAACTTCAATAGATGCTCTTGAAATGTTGTCTCTTTTCAGTTCCAGATATTCCAGACTATTGACTTTTCTCTGTTTGCCTTGCAGATTATTATTCCTTGCGCAAATGGGGTTTAGTAGCTGCTGCCATCCTATTCATCTTGGGCATCCTCATTCTTACTTGTAAGCCTGAGAGACTGGAATGAATGAATGAATTGTATCTTATTAACTGAGGGTGGAAAGAGAATGATGGAACAAAAGAACAGAACCATGTTTCATGTCATTGCCTTACAACACTAGTTTAGTTTTAACAATTATAGTTAACGTTAATCACTTCATTACACTGGTTTTGTATTAGCTTTCTCAGCAATATTATCTGCATAACTGAAAATGCTAGAATACAACATCACACCATTAATATCACCATTTGAAATCAGAAGTACTTCAGAAAAAAAAGGCAACGTTTAGGTGGGAACATTTAACTTTGCTATCAATTTGTATGGCTGCTTATCCATTCCATTCCAAAGAAAATCTGGATGGTGAATTTCAAATCAAAAGAGTTACATATTATTTAATGTTCAGGAAAGGCCTCTGGGAAGCACGTGGTTTAGGGCACTGTTTTCCACCATGATTCCAATGCCTTGATGGGTTTAAAGATGGTACGTAGGCTGCCATTTATTTTTACCATAAGGCAAACTCTAGGGCAAAGTAGCGATGGTGGGGAGGTTCTGGCATTCCAGGTATGCTCAACCACAATGCAAGCACCTTAGTGTACCCAAGCATTAGTGTAAGAAGCAGCTGACATGCCATCTCTTCCCATTTGGTTCTGAACTTTAGGAAAGAGCATTCCTCAAATACTTTGTTTGCTTCCTTTTCTCTTCAGGTGGTAAACATGGGAAATTTCCACGATGCCGAGGGAATAAGCGGGCAAGGTAAACCTACAGCTGTGTTGCCTACTCTATCCCCTTATCTTTGTGCACTTGATCACGTGAAAAACGGAACGGAAGAATAAAACTGTGCTTGAGAAACATTTATTTTATTTATTTTATTTATTTGATTTGCCAATTGTTTACAAGATAATAAGTATAAGTGTATACATAGTTGTGAATACATGAAATGGGTACATATAAGAAAAATAAAAGAATAAGAGAAACAATAGGACAGGGACGGTAGGCACGATGGTGCGCTTATGCACGCCCCCTACAGACCTCTTAGGAAAGGGGTGAGGTCAATAGTAGACAGTCTAAGGTTAAAGTTTTTGGGGTTTGGGGAAGAAACTACAGAGTCGGGTAGAGTATTCCAGACATTGACCACTCTATTGCTGAAGTCGTATTTCCTGCAATCAAGTTTGGTGCGGTTTACTTTGAGTTTGTATCTATTGTGTGCTCTTGTGTTGTTATGGTTGAAGCTGAAGTATTCATTGACAGGTAGGACATTGCAATGTATGATTTTATATACCATGCTTAAGTCAGACCGAAGACGGCGTAATTCAAGGTTTTCTAGTTCTAGAATTTCAAGTCTGGTGGCATAAGGTATTCTACAGCGAGTAGAGGAGTGGAGAACTCTTCTTGTGAAATATTTCTGGACTTTCTCAATTGTGCTAATATCAGATACGTAATGTGGGTTCCAGACTGATGAGCTGTATTCGAGTATTGGTCTAGCAAATGTTTTGTATGCTCTGGTTAGTAGTGTGATATTACCAGAGAAAAAGCTACGTAGGATTAGGTTAACAACTCTTAATGCCTTTTTGGCTATGTAGTTGCAGTGGGCTCTAGCACTTAGATCATTAGAGGTGAGTATTCCAAGGTCCTTTACAGAGCTTGGGTCATCAACAAGATCTTGACTATTCAGCTTGTATTTTATTTTCTGATTTTTTTTGCCAATATGTAAGACAGAGCATTTATTTGTTGAGATTTGAAGTTGCCATTTGTTTGACCATTCAGATACATAGTCAAGATCTTTTTGTAGGGTAGCAATATTGTCTGTGGTATTGAACAGCTTTACATCATCAGCGAAGAGAACGCAATTGCTCTTAATATGATCACAGAGGTCATTTATGTAGAGTATGAAGAGAGTTGGTCCTGTCTGATTCTCATGCGTGACCAACTCTGATCCTGATTTCTTATTTTTACAGAACATACGCTGTGTCTCTTGCTTGAAACGTCTTTGCCTGAAGCCTCTGAAGACTGCACTGAGAATGCTTTGGTGCCACCAGGGGGCATCCTTTCTTATGATGAAAAAAATGTTTGGTCTCCCAAAACGATTTTCCTGCTATCCATCCTTTCCATTTGTGCTTATGATGATCCTACAACATAAGTCCATTTTTATTGCCCTCTCCCTAAATTATCTTTTTGTTACATTAAACTAGTTCCTTGGCACAACCACAAGGCCTGGAAATTCATTGTTCCTTTCTCTGCCTGCCTGAGGTCAGGGCGATGTGTATAATGACTATTGTTCTTGGTTGCTTAGCAAAACTTGTCCATCCAAATTCTCTGCCAAGAAATCTCAAGTTCTGTTCTCTCAATAGATTTTTGGTGTGGTTTGTTTCCTGACATTGACTCTGTGCTGTCTTTGGCTTGATGTGGGTGTGGGTTATATTTACATACCCTCATTCTGAAAGAAGCTATGTTAGCAAAGCTGTTATCACTGGGATCTGGAAGTTGTCAAATTGGATGACAAGGTGGAAAGATTCAGAAAAAGAAAGGAGGAGGTGGTTTTATAAAAAAAAATAGTTCTCTGGGTTAACATACATTAAACCATAATCTGGTCTATTTGACTTTGGTTCCTCATAATGGGTGGATTCTGCCTTCGTAGTTTGTAATTCATCTTGAACAACCCCAGCTAATATCTCTTCCCATCATGCCAAGGGACATTCGGCTTATCGCATTACAGTCTTCAGGGGCAAAGTTGGCCACGAATAACATAACTCATATAATCAGTGACAAAAGTGTTGCTCAATGATGTTGAAGGACCAAATAATTTATATTGCATAAAATGGGAAAGCAGCAGCAACAAATAAAACAAATGATATATTTATGGTTGATGCAGTTTGTATTTAATGATATTTGCTGTTGACAGAATCCAGACCTTATCTAGTCTGGCTAGTCCCATCTTAGGCACAAAGCCATATGGATGGCCTGGGGCCAGTGTTTGTCTGTCTCTCTGTCTGTCTCTCTCTCTCTTTCTTCTTCTTCTTCTCTCTCTCACACACACAGAGAGAAAGAGAAGGTCCCAGTACTAATACTTCGTTAAAACTAATTTTTATTGTTAGATGCATATATTTTATTTCATGTTGCTTTGAGGGTTAGTCTATCGAGTGGTAAGCACCATGACTGTGATGCAAAACCTTTTCTAGATTATGGCTAGAGTTTGTACCCAGCTTCACTTCAAAACAATTTTTAAAAAAACAAAAACCTCCAAAACTCAAGCAGAGTATCACCCTACAGATTGATCATACGTTGTAGGCCAGTGTTTTTCAAACTTGGAAACTTTTAAGACCTGTAGACTTCAACTTCTAGAATTCCCCAGTCATCCATATTGAAGTCCACACATATTAAAATTGCCAAGGCTGAAAAACGTTAATGTTAAGTCATACAACTATCCTTAAAAATAAAAAGCATTTTCTTGAAATGTTGCTTCTGAACTGTTGAGATAAACTGAAGTTTGCTTTTTTTTTTTTTTGAGGTAGAAATTACAGAAGTGATCCTGGGGAATCTTCTTAGGGGAGTTAACCAAAGCAACAGGAAATGAAAATTCTATATGATTTTATATCTAATACATACAGCTGTATGATTGTGCCTATATTTTCTTGAATGTTTTAAAAATACTTGTGCAAGGGTGGAACTGCAAATATCCATCCATCTCAAACACAAAACAAAACCAGCCCAAGCCTGCCTCACGTATGTCTGGAAAGAAATGTTTAGGAAAGTATAAACAGAACTTAATATGACTTTTCAAAATGAAAAGTTCCCTGCTAAAAGCATGGGAACAAAAAAAAAGCGAAACCATAAAAGAAAAGACCTTGGAAGATTTTAAACAGAAGGTGGCAGCAGAAATGTTTTTGTAGCTTTTTGAGTTTCTAAATTAAAAAGATGTCCAACCAGGCTGCTTTTAGAATTTGGGCTTTTTAAGTTAGAGTTCCATCCTTTCCTGAACTTTAAAAAACAAACAAAAAACCAGGTTGACCTCCACAAAGAAAGCATGGCAAAGGGAGAGTAGAAGCAAAGTGTGTTTTTACATAATTATATGTTTCCCCCATTTCTTCCCCCCCATCCATGCATCAAAAAAATTCCAGAGGGAAAGAGTTTCTCATGCCAAAAATGTACAATGTTTGGACAAGCCTGCTGAATAGTTCTTTATTAACAGACATCATTTTGCAACCACAAAGGAAAGTGTTAAGGAAAAAGTGAATAATTTTACATTCCAGTTTTATTCTAGTAAAATAACTGGTGTAGATTGAACTTCTGGTCTCTTACAGAGATGATGACTGTAAGGTAGGTAGGTAGGTAGATGGCACAAGTGGGCTTGACTCTTGATGCATAGACATAACAGGCAACAATCCGCAGGTCTTCCCAGGACATGCTTAGGGTCCCCTTGATCCCATCCATCCATCCACCTTATCCCTTGTCTTCCTGTTTCCATCCACCTTGCGAAGTTTTTTCTAGTTCGTTATCCGTTTGCATCACAACACAAAGTGAGGTAATCATCAGGAAGCAGAAAAGCTTCGGAGGCCCCGGAGAGCTCTGGGTTTGTAAACACCTCCTTTCCGACGGGCCTCGAAGAAAGGCTGGGCCCCGCGGTTGAGCAGCGGCCGGGCCGGACGAGAAGACGGGACGTCGCCGAGCCCAGCGGGTCAGCCTCAGTCCCAAGGGCGGGTGCGGGTGCCGGGTGCGGGTGCGGGAGGCAGGGCGGCCAACTCGCTCCTCTCCGTCCTTCCGGAGTCGCGGAGGCGGCAGTCGGTGGGCAGGGAAAGGGGCTGCCACGCGGGGACGGCAGCGCGAAGAGGCGCGCCGGTTCTGGATGCCGCTTCTGCGCTTCCTTCTGCGGCGGCTCTTTGGATTGGGGCCGCTTCTCTCCCGCGCCTCGTAAAGAAGCTCGTCGTCTCCTGGTTTCCCACGACCCGCGCTGGCAGCTGAGCGATGGCTCGACGCGTGCTCGGGGCGGTAGATTGTGGGTTTCCGGGGTGGCTGTTGAGGTTTGAACCCGCAACCTTCCTTCGGACGATGGACTTAATCCCGTGCGTTTTAAGATGGCTTCGGGTTTGTTGGTTTGGTTTTGCTTTTTTGCCGGGGAGGCGGCTTTGGCATCGGCGTGTTTCCAGCCCCGTTGGTGGCATGGATGTGCACCAACAGCATGTGAATTAAGTAACTTTCGTTAAGTGTGTTGCATGCAAGAAAGGTCCCGTAAATCTATGATAGAGGGTGGATTGGGGAGGTTCCGCCTCTTCGAAATGCTGATGTCAGAGGTGAAAGAAACTCTTGGGAAGTTGCTAAAGTTGCTAGCAGCTTTGGAAGCCTCTTGCATGGTGATACAGTACTGCAAACTGCATTCTTCGTGCAGCACTTAAATATTGAGGAATGGGGAATTAAAAGGAGGGGATGGTTTCTTTCATACGTTCTCTGTCCCCCCCCCCACTTCCTTCCTTCCTTTCTATGGTCTCCAGTATTGCTGACTTGGCCAGCTTAAAGGAGCCTCCATTCTTGAAAAGCCCAGCATGGATTCTCCTGTGGTCCTAGATAAAGGCTCCCAGTTTTCCTCCCTTGAGCCTGATGATCCGGTCCCAGTAAAGAAGTTTTATCAGGGTGAACCTGTGGCCCTGGGGGTGAGTACGAAGATGAGTGATGGGAATGATGGTTTGCCTCCTTTCAAATGACTCTTGGAAATCTAAGTGTGGTCACAGCTGCCCCCATCCTTGCAGGGCAGTTAAATCAGAGGAATGGACGTTCCTGTTTAGTTTAGTCTGTGAATGTCTTGCCCGTTCTGCAAGGTTGGGAAACATGGATGGTCTTCCAGAGGAGAATAAGTGACTCCCAACAGCTGCAGTGAGTGGGACCAGTCCTGGAGGATTCTGGGAGTTGTATTTCTGGAGTGCCACCCATGTTCATTCCTGCCAAGGGCAAGAAAGCAATTAGGCAAAAGATTAGAGAGAGACAGAATGAGCTGATTTGTATGACGCAGGACTCCAACCACTAGAGATAACAGTTGCATTCCTCTGACTTGCTGAAGTTACAAATTGGCTTTTTCCAGAACTAGCTTTGTGCCTTTCCTTCAGGCACAAAGTATATGTTAAAATTCAGTATATGCAGACCGTGATTGAATCATCACTGAGCATGACTGAGTTTGAAATAGAATTGGGTACAATGATGAACATGTAATTGCTAAAGTGTAAAAAGATTGAAATTTGAAACAGAAAAGAATGAGTGAAAGAATATGATAAACTGTGCTATGTATGGATTGAACATAAAAATATCTATGCCTGATGAGTCCCAACAAGGAGGAAAGTGACTGCATAGTCATAGTGACTCCTTCTGGCCAGTAGCTAAGATAAAATGAGGAAAGAAATAGGTTTGGCAGAGATTGGTGAACATTAGTGATCCAAGCCAGTGGCCAATACCAACAGATGCTGGGAGTTATAGTTCAGGGACATCTTGAGTATTGTTGGGTTTCCACATTGTGGGAAGGTCATATCTGCAGGTGAATGGCCTTTATAGTTAGATATCCCATTTTAAACTCTTGTATCGTTTTATTAAAGTTTAAAGTTTTGGGAAGTGATGGGATAAAATGTAATCAGGCTTTGGCATGTCTCTCTGCCCTCCTGCTCTGCTTGTGGTGTGTGACTTGAAAGCGATGACTAAAATCAAAATTATTACTTTCTCTATTTGCAGATTACACAGATATTAACAGGAATCATAGGAATAGTTTTTGGAATCCTGTTCAACTTTATTGATCATGGTGATTCTACTTACTTCCTGCTTATAAAGATACCCTATTGGGGTGGAATCTTGGTAATTTTACATGATCATGTATTGATACAATTCAACACAATAACTCAGGATCCCGATGTTGAACTGCACATCATAGCAACCTGGTCTTTGCTGAAGGATGCGTGGAGCTATAGTTTAGCCACTTTTGGCTTCTCCAAATCTTTTTACAGACTTTACTTCAGAAAAAGGATTGCTTGGCTAGTTCCATTTTTGTCTTATGTCCGGTCTCCAAATTTCTAAAAACCTCTGAATTAAGAGATTATACAAATAGAAGTAATCTCCTTGGCTCCTATTGTATAGCTAGTTCTTACTTACCAACCAACCACCACATTCAGTGACTAGTTAGTAGTTAGTTAACTTTGTTGTCACTGCACCTCGTACAATGAAATTAAATACCATCTTCAGTGTACATTATAACTATAAACAACAAAGCACAAACTCACCTCCTTCGCATTCTATACCTTGAATTGAAAACCCCTGGATATTGCATTAATATTGCGCTATAGAATTCAATAGAATGCCCTGGGATAGAAGCTGTTTTTCAGCCTATTTGTCCTTGTTTTTATTGTCCTGTACCACCTGCCAGATGGTAATAGTTTTAAAAAAAGGGTGCCCAGGATGAGATGGATCTTTAAGGATGTTTTGAACTTTCTTAAGGCAGCGGGAGCTATAAAACTTTTCCAAGAGGAGAGAGGGCAAGCAATGATCTTCTGGGCAATGATGTTAATCCTCTGGAGCACTGTCCTACCTGCCACTGTGCAATTGGCAAACCAGACACAGGTGCAGTAAGTTGAAATACTCTCTATGGTGCACGGTAGACTGTTTGAAGTTATAGTGCCACTGAACAAAGGGGACTGATGACCAGTCCTCAATCTTGTGGCCATTGCAGAGCCCCCTCCCCAATTGTCATAGAATCATGTCTCAAACACTCAACAACTGGTCTGCATTATCCCGTGACACATGATTGCCATTTGTTACTTTCACACCCTGCTTCTGATGAGCAAAGTCAATGGGGAAGCCAGCAGGAAATTGAAAGTCATGGGAACCATGAGCTTGAGTGTAGTTGTTTGCAGCATCTGGAGACCTTTGTTTTTTTTTTATCATAGAGACAAGGGAAAAATATTGCTGAACATTACTGCTATGCTGTGTTGTACAAAAGTTCTATGAATGTAGCTCCTGCCTGCAGTGCCTTAAAGCAGCAGCATCTTCAACTGGAGTAGGGAAAAATTGATTGAGGTTCAGCACAAAAAATGTCAGTGCTTAATGAGCAGTGAACAGTAGCAGTAGCTTTTAGACTTACATACCGCTTTACAGTGCTTTTACAGCTTTCTCTAAGTGGTTTACAGAGTCAGCCTATTGCCCCCAACCATCTGGGTCCTCATTTTACCCACCTCAGAAGGATGGAAGGCTGAGTCAACCTTCAGCCTGGTGAGATTTGAACTGCCAAATTGCAGGCAGTCGGCAGTCAGCAGAAGCTTGCAGTACTGCACTCGAACCACTACGCCACCGTGGCTCATTGTAAGGAGCAAATTAAGGTGGGAGAGAGATTACAGGAGTGAAACCTAAAGCTGCCCTAACCAAGGCCATTTTCTGAGCTTCAGTGTTGCCACACTGGAGCTGAGGCATAGGGAGGGGGGAATAGAGATAGATGGGGTTTGTAGCCAAAACAAAATACTTTCCCCTGGGAACCAAGGACATTCACACAGGTGGTCGGTGAGGGGTGGAATGATGTAACCAAGCAACTGGAAGACACGCTGATTGGACCATGTGACTGACTGACTGGGGAAGAGAAAAAACTTTTACTTTTAACTTGGTGAAAACCGTCGGAATCTTTAGGGTCAGTTTTCACTAGCCTGTGCCAGTATGATATATCCAATAAAACAGTTCTTTGAGGAATTTACCTGCCTTGAGTTCTATCTGTTATGGGTGTATTACTTAGAACCCTGACAATCAGTCTGTGATGGAAGAGAGAAGTCTGCAAATCTGATCCTCTGGGGATGGAGCCATGTTGATTTGCTTTTTCTTTTCTTTCAGCACATTATTTCTGGATCCTTAACTGTGGCAGCTGCTCGGAATCCCAAGATCCCTCTGGTAATTATTAACCTATGGGAGACAAGTAAAGGCCATGGCTTTAAAAGCCTCTTATCTGAAGAGTTGCAACCCACTGGGTTACCAATTGTGAGCTTGGTGGATTTCTGATGTTCCTGTATCATTAACATCCAAGCAAGCATCATGATAGTTGTGGCTTCTTGTTCAAGAGTCTCTCTCCCGAATTCCCTTTTTGGAAGCTGCAGGTCTTTTGCGAATCTCTTTTTTTGCCACTTTATGACAAAGATGTTCTGTGTCTCCGTCTCTGATTGAATATTCCATGGAAGTAAATATCTAGAAGTTGTCTCTCTTCCTCCACAGTGGTCAGGTGGAGGGTCTGGTATGCAAATGTGTGCCCAAACAGCATCACTGGAAAGGTATACAAAGGAGTTGAGCCATTCTTACATGGGTGTAGAGCAGGGGTCAGCAACCTGTGGCTCTGGAGCCGCATGTGGCTCTTTCATCCCTCTGCTGCGGCTCCCCGTCTCTCAAAATAGGCATCATGATTGTCAATGTTTGATACCTGCCGGCATGCGATTTATTGAGCTTTTTGACCCCCAGTAGGCTAACCATGGATAAATCCAAGAAAAGAAAAGTTTCAGAAGAAAACAGAATCTTTAATTCAACTATATATGCTAATTTTGTGGCCACTCAGGAAATAGTCACGGGAAGGGTTTTGTGGCTCCCAGTGTTTTCTTTTCTGTGGGAAACGGGTCCAAATGGCTCTTTGAGTGTTTAAGGTTGCCGACCCCTGGTGTAGAAGTTATCAGCCTCACCTTTTCTGGCTAAAGCAAATCCAAAACTGAAAGCCATCTGAACTCTTCCGCTCTTTGTGCCATTGGAGAAATTTGGATTGCAATATAGTCACTTTGTGTGTTTGTGCTTGTGTGTTTATTATTATTATTATTATTATTTTGGTCCCTCCTAGGTGAAAGGTATGCTGGCAATGAATGCAATAAGTGCCATTACAGCTGGCCTTGGCATCGTATTCCTGTCTTTCTCAGTCAGCCCCTTGCTTCCATTTAATTTTGGCAACAACTGCAACTATCATCATTACGACACTAAGGAAAAATGTGATGAAATCCAGGTATGCCTTTTTATATGCTTGTTGTGACCTTCCACAGAACCCCATCAGTTTCAACAGGACCAGAGAAGAAGGAGGAGGGAGCTCATGGTGTTCTCTAGGTGGAGGCATAACATTTTGGAGTTTGTGGTGTCAAAAATCAATCCCAAAGAGATTTAGCCATAGAAAGGAATGGCAGGAATGTTGCCTTTTAGAGGTTGTCTCTTCTGGGGGGTTTTCCCTCCCAATCCTTTCAAAGCAGCTGCAATCAGCACATCTGCAGGGCATAACCAAGAATTCAAGGTGGCAGCAGTAAGAGAGCAATTAATGTTTTGCCAGAATTTTATATGTGCATTAAAAAAAAA